AGAGCGAGAGGCAGAAAAAAGAAGCATTAAAAGTTCTTACACTATAAAATCAGCCCCTACATAGTCAGAATTGTCCTGTATTTTCATGTCACCCTTGTCACAACCCATTGTGTTTTCTTTATACAGGTAGCTTTGCTTACCTTAGCACAAATATCAAAGTCAAGTACAAGCATATACTCATTTGCATAGCAAATTTTAAAGGGTGCATTGAAACAGTAACCAATTGATAAAGGTATAAGTCATTTTTATAATTAGAATGACATTCAAATTGACCAAATAAAACGTTTTCTATTTGAAAACAGTTACCTACAAAAGTTTTTGGGATATGAACAACACATGACTTAGCAAAACATTAAAACCGTTACTGATGTAGTTCTCCATAGGCAGCAGTTCATGTAGCAGTCATTCTTTTACAACTTCTAGGACTTTGTAAACACTGTTCTGGAATACAGTGGTGAAGTGAGGTTTGGAATCCTTCACCAAGAGGTTACATAAGGGAGTTTTCCCAGCATTGGCAGGATCTTCTACATCCCAAATTTCAGGCATACTGCAACCAGGCCTAGAAAAATGAATGTACACATTAAAAATCAATGTGCATTATATAACTGCAGATAAAGCAGGGCACTTCTTATATTCCTGACCTCGTTTCCTTTTTTCCACTTAAATTACTTTAGTTTTTAAACGATCCTTTCATATAGCTATTTTAAGTTTTTATAAGCTGCCATGACTCACTTTAGGACAAGGTGAATGCAGCAAAGGTGACTATAAGGAAAGACACAGACCTGCAGATACATATATCCAGGTGTTGGGGAAAGAGACACCTCAGTTAAACTCTGCCGCAGCTACTTACCAAGAATGTGGTTCTGGGCAGGTAGCTTCCCTTGGTCTTAGTTTTCACATTTGTAAAATGGGGAAATAAACACCCATGATATAGGTTTGTTGTGAGGATTATGAGAGATCAGGTATCTAGCACCATGCCCAGCACACAGAAAAATGTGTAACATTGATTTAAAAAATTATAATGAACAAATATCCTTAATTCACAGGGAAGCTGCATTAATTGTACAGATGCTCCTCAACTTAGAATGGGGTATGTTTCAATACACCCATCATAAGTTGAAAATGCATTTAATACACCTAATCTATCCAGCATCACAGCTTAGCCGAGCCACCTGAAACATGCTAGGAACACTTGCATTAGCTGACAGCTGGACAAAATAATCTAATGCAAATACTATTTCATGACGAAATGTTGAATATCTCATGTAATTTACTGAATGCTGTACTGAAATTGAAAAACAGATGGTGGTATGGGTATTTGAAGTGTGCTTTCCACTGAATGCACATGGCCTTAACACTGTCACAAAGTCAAAAAATCAGTAGGTCAAACCATCTTAAACTGGACAGTCGATATTCTAGAATGAATCAATTTAAAGACATTCTGGTAGTGTTGAGCATACATCTTAAACACATAATTAAATCTCAAAAGCAATATATCTTTATAAAGAACAGAATGAGTAAAATTGGCATCATATGACATTTGCCTAAATAAGTTTTTCAAAATAACAGTATCATTTATTTTAAATCAATAACAGTTTTATAGATGTAACTGTGGATACTGCTATCTACCTTTTGAGGAGTTTTAAAAAACAGAAAAACATATTGGAAAATTATAGAGAATTGACAACTGCTCAAGTTTTGTCATAATTGCTTTCCTTTTTATTTTTAAATAAGAGAAAAAAAATTCCCAACAAGTCCCTCTTAGGTTTAGTAGCAGTCCCTCCCTCCTCCCTCACTCTCCACCATGAGGCAAACACCGCAACAGGAATGTACATCATTTTCCCTTTTTAAATAACATCTTTAATTTAGAAGTAATCAGTCATTATAGAAGTATTAAAATATAGACCTACATACATTTTAAGAAGTGAAAGTCACCATCATCTCCAATAGCATTTCTCAGAGGTGACTTCTATAAACAATCCAGCATATATCCTGCTGGACTTTTTTTTAAAAAAAATTATTTCAATAGCTTTTGGGAAACAGGTGGCTTTTGGTTACATGGATAAGTTCTTCAGTGGCAGCTACTGAGATTTTGGTGCACCCATCACCAGAGCAGTGTCAAGTGTACCCAATGTGTAGTCTTTTATCCCTAACCCCACCCCTTGCTTCCCCCGAGTCCCCACAGTCCATGGCATTCTTATGCTTCGCATCCTGGTAGCTTGGTTCCGACTTATAAGTGAGAACATACAATATTTGGTGTCTACTGGATCTTTTGTTATCCAATGTCAGACACACATACAGACACGGATATCATTATATACACAGATGCTGTGATGATCAGTATTGAGTATCAACTTGATTGGATTGAAGGATGCAAAGTATTGTTTCTGGGTGTGTCTGTGAGGGTGTTGCCAAGGGAGATTAACATTTGAGTCAGTGGACTGGGAGAGGGTGACCCACCCTCAATCTGTGTGGGTACCATCTAATCAGCTGCCAGTAAGCTAGAATAAAAGCAGGCAAAAGAATGTGGAAGGACTAGACTGGCTGAGTCTTCTGGCCTCCATCTTTCTCCTGTGCTAGACGCTTCCTGCCCTTGAACGTCAGACTCAAGTTCTTCAGTTTCTGGACTCTTGGGTCTACACCAGTGGTTTGCGGGGCACCTTGGGCCTTCAGCCACAGATTGAAGGCTGCACTGTCAGCTGTCCTACTTTTGAGGTTTTGGGATTCTGACTGGCTTCCTTGTTCCTCAGCTTGCAGATGGCCTATTGTGGGGCCTCACCTTGTGATCGTGTGAGTCAGTACTCCTTCATCAACTCTCTTTCATATATACATCTATCCTATTAGTTCTGTCCCTCTGGAAAACCCTGACAGATGCTCTTGAGTTGTTTTTACAAAAATGGAGTTATTTTGGGACTCTATACTGAACAATAAAATGTGGCACTATTTTTCCATCTCAGTGCATAAAGACCTACTCTATTGTTTTTAAAAACTGCTAGTTCTCATATGTATTAACCAATTCTTTACAGACAGATACTTTAATTGTTTCCCATTTTGCCATTATAAAGCAATGCAGCTATAAGCAGTCTTGTACCGAGCTCCCTTCTACAAGCTAAACCTCTAGAGCAGCGGTCCCCAACCTTTTTGGCACCAGGGACTGGTTTAGTGCAAGACAATTTTTCCATGGACTGGAGGGTCAGGGGATGGTTTTGGGATGAAACTGTTTCACCTCAGATCATCAGGCATTAGATTCTCACAAGGAGCATGTGCCCTAGATCCCTTGCATGTGCAGTTCTCAATAGGGTTCGTGCTCCTATGAGAATCTAATGCTGCCACTGATCTGACAGGAGCCAGAGCTCAGGCTGTAATGCTCACTCACCCTCCACTCACCTCCTGCTGTGAGGCCGGGTTCCTAACAGGCCACAGACCAGTACTGGTCCGTGGCCGGGGGCCTGGGGACCCCTGCTCCAGAGGCAGCATTATCACTCTGCCAAAGGACTGCACAATTTTTTCTTACCTTCCCTTCATCAAACTATCCCCTAGAAATGTTTTGCCAATGAGAGTTCCCATGAAGAGGGTTCAAGTGCACACTTTTTGCACCCCCTTGCTGACACTGGTTTCTGCGGACATGGAACACCTATGATCATATGGCTGGGCATGGGTTTTCTACCTTGTAATTTTCTCACACACGTCAAGGCTGAACTGTTACAACACTGAGGGCCCATAATGGCAGAGAGTGAGACATACAGAAAGTAGAGAACGACCGACGGTTAACAGCTTTTAGGAAAAAGAGAGGGCAAACAGCTGTCTTGGGGAGCTCTGGGTGACTTGTGCAACACTATTTAGTCCTCATCTGAGTTTCCCAAGGTTTCCCCAGGCCAGCCATCTGCAAATAGCATTAGTGGAAATCTGAATAATTTTCTTCTAAATACATGTATTTTATGTCAACTCTATTATTGGAGTAAAAGAAAGAGAACTGTAGTTAATTAAAAACTAATCTACAATTTGCATGCAAATAGATTTGAGTGTTTATATTTAAACACAGTGTCAAATATTTAAGGAATAATCAAGCCATACAATTAAGCCACTTGTAAATGAGATCATTTAAACATAGTGCTCACCAACTGCCAGGCACAGATTAAGCACTAGATGAATACTGGTCCCTCTTTCCCTTCCACTCCTGTCTGAGTTCCCCATCTGCTTCCCCCATTCCGACAGACTTTCATGTCCCAGCAGTCTACAGGGGTTTCAGGCTGATCACAACTGAAATGGAGAGTGAAGGCCAAGGAGATAAGGAAGGTCCCAAACCTGGCAGAAAGCTTTGTCAAGAAACTTCCTACTCTGAATGTAAACACTAGGTAAATATTAGTCATTCTTCACTTTCCCCTTCTATCTGAACTCCCCATTTGCTTCCCTGTCGGGACAGAAAGCACAGCTTCTGTTTTGTGTCAAGGTTGAAGGAGAGTGGCCCTGTCCAGGGTTTCCTGCCAATGCGTCATCAGCCTGGCTTAGATCTTGTACTAGATAGAGAGTGCTGTTTTGATGAGTGGGAAAACAGATGAGAGAGTCACTTTCGTAACTTCCTCCCACTCAACTCCTGCTGTGACAGACACAATAAATGGCAAGTCAAGGTCCAGACGGGGAAATCCAGCACCCCCTCTTCTGCACCCCACCTCTCAGTCTGAGTGCTCGTAAGTGACCTGAAGTCAGTTCAATGTCTGCTATTTTGTTTAGTGTGCAAAGTTTATTGCCATACTTCCTGAATTTGCCTTCGTATCCCTTCTTGTGTGGGTAAAACAGTGCTCTGCCTACTCTGCAAACAGCATGAACCCGAACATGAGACTGTTAGAGCTGTGCAAATCCAGGGAGCTCTCCCAACACTCTACAGCACAAAGCCTCTGCAACTTTCACATATTCAGACTCTATGCGGGGGTCTAGGGAAAAATGAACTCTCAAATCAAGGCTCATTGTTAGCTGGGAGAAAAAAGGTTATGAAAATTATTTTTATGTTCCAGCAACTTACAGTTTTTTCAAGAGAGTGAAGCCCACAGAAATAAAGAAGATCCCAATTCTGGTAGAAAGCTATGCTAAGAACTGAGTTCTTCCTATTGCAAATGTCAGCCTACCATTCATTTCATATAATTTCCTGATAAGATCGTCATGAGATGCTTAGAACTTTTCTGTCCTAAATTTATATAACAATGTTAAAGGTGAGTATGTGAATTTCATATATATTCACAAATGCTTAAAACACTTTCTGAATTATTACAAAATAACATTTTCTATAAATCCTGACTGAATTCAAACCACGTAGCACACATTCATAGGAAAATCGTTCTATAATCAATTATTTTAGTTTCCTTGTGAACAAAGCTGTAAATACTATGTCACAGAACTATTTTTCACTCATGACTCAGTATTTAACAATGTTGTCTTAATACCATATGTGTCATTGAAATCTATGGTGGGCAAGTATGATCAAGCCACAAATATAACAATCTCTTGAACGCTTTTGTTTAGTTACAGAGTAGTAAGAATTTAAAAAATATTGTTATTTCATAAAATAGTGTTTATTTCTGACAAAAGGCTTCCGGTACTGTGCTCTTCATGAAGTGAATGTTTTGGTACTTTAAAAGCAGGCTACTGTCACCTGCTGTCCAGTCACTTACGTGCCACATTGCTAGATAGCTTTAGATTCACATCTGCTTTGAAGATCTTACTGTCACTTGGAGCTATACTCAGCTTAGTAAACATCTCTGTGGAAATAGAAACTTTTAAAAACTATAAACCCAAAAGAATGTGGGTCACAGTAAAGTTTTTTTCCCATTCAAATAAGATGTGAAACGCTGGGAAAGAAAAGTTTCATTCTGAGTTGATGCCGACAGGGTATCCCATCCATCAACAGGACATAGTGTAGCACAGAGACCCAGTACGGATAATGCGGCCCCTGGTGCTCAGCTGCCTGACTTCACCAAAAGAGACTCCCTATTACTTGGTTTCAGACCCTGGAAGTCTTTTGAAAGAAAATACATCCAACTTTAAATAGAATTTTTTTTAAAAAACATCAAAAGCAAATATGAACAATTAGGGAGATTATCAACTAGTGCCAATAAAAATCTCTTTAAGGTAGCACACACACAAATCATTATTTTAAAAAAAGATATTTATAAAGACTAGAAAAGAAAGTCTCCAAATCACTATCTAAAAGGTTTTTTCAGGCCAGGCATGGTGGCTTACGCCTGTAGTCCCAGCACTTTGGGAGGCCAAGGCAGGAGTAGCACTTGAGGCCAGGAGTTTGAGACCAGCCTGGCGAACACGGCAAAACGCCATCTCCACTAAAAATACAAAAATTAGGCGGAGGCTGCAGTGAGCCCAGATCATGCCAGTGCACTCCAGCCTGGGCGACAGAGTGAGAGCCTGTTTAAAAAAAAAAAAAAAGTTTTTCCACATATACTTTATGTTATATACGCACCCCTGTCACCAGCAAAGTATTTGCCATGTGCTTGAATTAACCTTCATGTCTTCTGATTATAAAATGTTAACTGTGTTGATACTCACTTGGATCTTCTTACACACCATGACTCTTCTAGAATGTAATAGTTCACTTTTAACTTTATCAGTTCTCGCTTCACTTCTTCAGCTGCTTTCCGACTATACATTGAGTATACTATTTTCGTTCTGGCTCTTTAAAGAAAAATAATTGGGCACAAAATTTTCAAGATTAAAACGATATAATCAACACATTTGGAAGAAAGCACTGAATCAGACTAGACGACGAGGAAGAGGAATCCAGTCAGGAGGAAATTCCCCATGGAAGTTCCGGCTAACGGGCATCAGTGAGGTCAAAAGCAGGAGGCAGAAGGAGGCCAAGTCGTGGGAGATGAGGGTCACCTTTAACGCACCCCTACATTTCCAAACTTGGTCATCTTTGTGTTTGTTCACCTATTGATTTGTCTTAAATTCTTCACTGCTCCATCACATGTAAGAGTGAGGTACTGTGTGTGAACAGGGATGAACTACAGCAAACACAACTACAGGACTACTCTGAAGCTGCAACAGTCCCAACTTCAACATCAACAGTAATTCACACTAAATGGTTCTTCGTTTTATTTCTAGACTTAAGAAAAACTAAACTTATTTAACAAAATTGTCTGGAAATTAGCTTGATGAGATTGATTTTTTAATGAAAAAGCTTATTTGTAAATGTACATGCCATTGTTATGCAAAAGAAGATGCTAATAAGATTCACCTAATCACTTAGAAAATGAATAGCTTCACCTGCCTTAGAAACTGCATGAAAAATTAAATTAAAAAAATAATTTAGACAACACGTCTCTAAATTATTTTCTAAAGTCTCAAAAAAATCTAAAAAAACAGAAAACACCCAAGATCATTCTAACAGGCTATACTGGTGAAAACCAGAATAAACTCCTCTTTGAATGGAATTCTATTTCAAATGACTTCTCCAAAATCAAGAAAAATCACCTATGAGAAAACCTTAATAAACACTCTAAGCTAAACTCTTCAGGGAGTTACAGGATGAAAAGAACTTGGACATTTTAGAGCCCTGTTAACCTGTGGGAAAGTGCTGTAGTATGACTTCCTTTTTCTGCCTGGTAGAGAAGATGGCCCCCAAAGTTGTTGCTTTCCTGCCCTGTGAAGTCTTAACGAATTTGTTTAGAGCTTAGCAGTCTTATTTCAGCCTTCTGCTCCCCGACGCGATAAGCCTCAGTTCATCATATCCTTTTGGAACATTCCTCATTCCTTTGCTGGCGTCCTCCACTCACTGTCTGTTTGCATGGAAGGTTTGTTTTGATGATGCAAGACTGTGCACTGACCTCAAGCCTGCGTCTTCATAATGTGGATGATTCACAATGGGCCGAAGTGCAGAGAGCTTAACACTTGCCATCGTGGGCATGGCACCCGCAAACACTGCATCTGGAAAGCAAGAGGAAGG